GCTGTTGATAAAAGTCTGCAACCTGTAGGAAATACTTTTTGGGACAATTATTTAGATGAATTTATGTCGAGAAATTGGTTTAGCCTATAACTGAAGACTCCAGTAAGGAAGTGGGAAGTATTCTCGGAACATATAAGGGGCTTAAGCTTTATAGTTATTTTTTTAAATACCGTATTTTGTTTCTACAAAAGATGTTTTTAAATTACACGTTTTTATTTTGGCCTCATATGACTGGTTGATGAAGATGTTGTAAGGTTGCCATGATGGTCGTTCTCTTGGCACACTACAGATAAGCCGTGTAAAGGGGAATAATAAATTGCTTTGGTACACACATGGAAAGGAAGGCTTAGTTTTACGTATCTCTTTACCTCAGGGTAATTCAGTAGGTTGCCTTGATGGTTTCCATAGATAATCTTCAAAGCTGTTTTGATAACATTCTTGTTAATCATATCAATTAAGTATTTTTCTGGCAGTCTACCTCCAGCATTTGTCGACATTTTATAGTTCAGTTGTTTTTCAAGACATTTGGCTATGTATTCCCCTACTATGACATGCGTAGCATGATCAATCCTCCGTATGTATATGTGACCACACACTCACATATGAATTCGTATACATATTGAGATGTGTCACAACCACTTATGAAGTGTCAAAACGTGGTAGAGCATGTTTTCGACTTTTTCGATAACTGCAAGCTTTGACTGCAAATTAAGTTTTGCAGATGATAGGGTTTAGTCACTGCCTTAAAATCTTACTAATTATTTCTTCATTGTCAGATAATTTGATCTAGACATCTGTCTTAGGGATGGAATTATATGTAGGCTCTGAATCTAAGTGACTTATAAACAGGTTCAAAAACTTCAAGGAAAATTTAAGATGAGTAGACATTGAAATATGAACATACAGTGACCCGCGATATACAAAATCTGTTTTAATACATTGTCTGCTGGCTAAATTTTGAAATAGACATTGTATAGTTATGATATAATAGGTGAAATGATGTTTTATGATTATCACGTGAATCTGTCGTTGGAAACTCAATTTGCTAAAGTATAATTCCCATTTATCAGATTATGAGCAAAACTTATTATGTGAGGATTGATGATATATGACATATTCCTTTGAGTTCCCAGTGGAATTTAGGGCTTCAAGCTTCTTAAATGAAGTTTCAGTAGCAGTGGTGTTTTCACAGGATGAGGTTGCTAGCATCACGCCCAATCTTCCCTCTTTGTAACCGGCTAAGGAAGGTAAAAGTGTCAGCCGGACCACGTGTATCGTCGGCCAGCGCTCTATCACTGAACCACTGATGCACAGATATTGTCATATAATCAATTTTTGCATTCAACATGAATGAATATAAAATTATGAAAGTACTATCAATGAATGTGTCAGTATTGTTTAACGGAACAATTTAGTAACTGTTTATTTACAGATTATGAAGTAGTTATATAAACTCTTCTGATATCTGTCGCTTTATACAACACCCGCGCTAAATGTGGTCTGGTTGAATTTTTATATTCAACCTTACGACCAATAATTCTTACGAAATTTCTTCTCGTTCATCCCGGAGATACATGGAAACAGTTGTGAATAGTAAATAAGAGATTCACCATCCGATACGATGACTTTAGCCAGTTACTTGCAAGAATTAAAGTGTCTATCTACAACAGTCCTTAAAGTGCTACGTAATATAACAGCCCCACTTTGAGAAGTTTAGGAAATCATAAAGAACAGCAAAGAAGATTGGCTAGAATACATGAAATTATCAAATTTTCTTCGAAGTGGTTCAGTTATGCTAGAAAGTCAAACGAAAGAATGTTTTGAAAAGCAACAAGATATAAACTAAATAACAAAGATTTAAAGGGAAACTGATGTCGAAGTCGGTAATACTTGACTTCTTCCCAACCACAGTGCCATAGATATCAGAGAACATTATGAAAATAAGAATGGAAAATAAAACATTTAGCAATGTTTTCTCTCATAAATTTATAGGTACTTAACGTTGTGTAATTCAATTATTTCATCTGCGTAGAGTTTTACGTAACACTGTAGATAAGAAATTAATTAGGCCTGACATCGTTCAGTTATTTTTGTTGTTCCTATTCCTCTTCGTATACACACACACGTACATGCAACTTGATTATATCTCTCTCCGATAAGGCAGTACTGATAAAACATTACTGACATGATGTTTTTAGTGCATATTATCCTCCAGTGGACAACATGAGAATGGGTTAATGTTTTCCTAGACAGAATAAAAACACCAAAATGTACTGATCTACTTACTGATTTTTCTGTTATACAACGGAACAAGATAATCAGACCAATTTTATTTGCTTCATAAAAAAGTAAACTACCTATTTTTATTCATAATGTTTTTATTATCTGGTTGTTTTTTTTTACTGATGTTAATTCTGTTCTATGATGACGATTTTATGGTGTAACATTAAAACATGTCTAATGCTCTGTCAATTATTACACATGATGACAGTATATGTGATGTTTTCGCTTGCATACTTGTGAGACAAGCACAGTTTGGTTAGTTTTCTCTGAATTGTACATATATATGTACAAATTGTTCAGTGCTATTAAATGTTATACTATTAAATAGCTTTACATCTACATAGCAGCTCAAGAAGGTTAAAGTTCATCCAGTTGAAAATTTGCTCAGTGAGTTGAGCTAACTAATATGTATGACTAATAAGTGTAGTGAAATTCATACGGTTACCAAGGGAGGGAGTGACTGACTACACTCTCTTTCTGTGTGCATGAGTCTGGTCTGAAACTCGATTGCAATTGCTTCAGCAAATCGTAGTAAATTCTCTTTCCTTTGTATGTATATTTCAAAGAATTTGGAAATCTCGACAAAATGACCTGTATCCATAAGGTGTCTGTTGATTGCACTCTGTAAATATTTGCTTCCTTTCAAGCATAAGTTTCTTGGAATATGCTCTAAAAACCGGATAGAATCCCTTGTTTCTATCCTTCCATTGTAATTGCTGCCGCAGGTGCACGTAAATTTATAAATACAGTTGGAGGTAACATCAGCAGGGTACTTATTCGGTTTCGATTGGCTTATAGAGCATGTAGAGCTGTATAGTGTCACCAGCTTAACTACAGCGAAGCATCTTTTTATTGCTGCTTTCAATTGTACAATTCATCTATACAATTACATACATGTAAGCTAGTATTATCAGTGAAAAGAATATGAATTAATGACCACTCCTTGAGTAATCATTTGACTATACTAGTGCATGTTCTATTTGCTGTCTATATGTGTCATATATGATTCTCAAAAAGTGATCGGTTGAATACAAATGCCCAGGGCTTATAATGGAATCCATAAATACAGGTCTATACCCAAAGGTATAAAATGTTTAGAGAATTCGAAAGGAGCGAATGTCCTACTATCCCATCTCTGTCATCTGCAGCCACAGTTTCTGACTTTTATTCGGTCGCCTGTGATTTAGGTCTCTACATTCAATATATCGCATTCCTAATGTGAATAAGTAGCGTAATCTTTTTGTGTCTAGTGAGCAAACACCGCATTGTAATGCTAGTTTGTGATCAACATTTTGCATGTGAGACGCTAAGGTTCAAGGAACAAGGGAATATTTTATTATATATCAAGCAATTTGAGTCGTATTTTGTATTCGTGCAAACTAAAATACTGCCACTAGTTAACCCTAATACCCACAAAGATACCATTATATTCCCTGGTGTTTTCCCTCTAACATCAAACTTCTTGATGTAAAAAGACCATATTGCAATTGACTGTCAGGGTGTATATGTGTGCCAATGAACTAAGTCCTTCACAGGAACACAACTTCAAAATCCACTTCAAACTGACTTCGTTTGACCAGTCTCAAGCGAGTGTTTGAATGCCGATTCTGTCTAAAGTACACTAAGAACTAACCAACATCTACAACGTGTACAACTGGAATGTAGTAAACGCCCAGACAATCACACAGATGTTTTTAACTAGTAGCTTAAAATACTAGGAACTGTGAAGTTTAAATTACTTCCAATAAACGAATGTTTTGTTTCTATAATGACTTTAAAACAAATTGTATAGAAACACTTCTATCTGTGTATGTATACAGTTTCACATGATCACCCATAATGTTAGATATTTTTTCATATTTAGTCTCAAGATGTGGATTTATCAGATCTCGTTTTAGTTATGCAGGAATTAGTCTAAATATTCCTTTCATATCAAAATAACTAGACATCATGAATTTTTCCCTATTCCATTCATAATACCATTACACTTCGAAGTCATATCAAATATTTTTACATAGAATTTTAAGAGAATCAGTTTCAGTGTAGGTCGCAACAGAGTTTTAATTAGTGCCCCTCGAATAACTAGCCTGGCGCTCTACTAGCTGAGCACTGAGATCCAACTGTTATCATAATGAGTAATACCTAACTGCCATGTGAATGAATAATATATTACTGTCTATTTATCATAACACCAGCCGCTTAGCGTGGTCTTCTTGTATCAATACCATTTAGACTTCATAGCAACTGGATCTCATTTTCAGCTGGCAGAGAGTCAGACTAGCAGTTTAGATGTGTTTAAATCCTTCCATGACCTAGATTTTAACGTTACCTTCAATCACTGCTCATCATATAACAGTCTGCCAGCCTAAGGCTACTAATTAAAAGAAACAGTGCAGTTATAAGTCCAGTATTGGACTGTTTCCTACGTGATCCGCGTACGATTTCTGCCTACCAGCTCACCGCTACCCGTCTCTTGTCTGGTAGTAAGCGTGAGTCTAGCAACCGCACTACATGAAAATATGAGTGCCATCAATGCTAACTTTTCAAGGCTCAAGCTTGAAATACTTTGTGACTGATTCCAAGTGCGGTTACAGTTTTTATCCATATACTGTCCTCCCTAATAACTATTTAATTTTTATCAACCAATGATAGTTCTTGGTTGAATAATTTCTATTACTGATTTTAATGTTGTTTCATTTTTGCATAATTTACTTTAGGGTGGTGTAATTGGCATTGATATCAATTGGAAATGCGATCTAGATTGGGATGTTCAATACTGTAATCCAACCTATTCATTTCGACGACTAGATGATGCACATGCGAAAATTGCCTCTGGATTTAACTTTCGGTAATTATCATTTTACTTATATATAACAGTATTTGTCAAGACGCTTTCAATGGTATATGCAAAAAGTTTATCTTATGGTCATTTATCTCTTTTATGGAAGTTTTTATTTCAAGCAACGAAGTCCAGTTACACTGAATGCTTTTGACTGATTTTTAATTATTAAAAAAATAATAATAGCTTTATTCTGAAGAATATTTATGTAATGTACAGAATTGTCAGCGGAGTTTATTGCATTATACTTCCCCTCGGGCCGGTATTTTCAAATAAAAGATTAATTAAGAGTAGATAGTCTGAAAAAGTTCTACCTGACCTGAAGCGCAAACCGATCCACTATGATATCTCTTGTTTTCCTTCGAGAAATGCCAATTATAAAAACTTTAGGAGTATATTTCGTGAACCAAGGATACCACTATGGAACTGTCATCTCACGTCTAGGGATAAACTGCCATCGAGGATAATGCTTTATCACGTGTTCAGTAGAAATTTGCCAGTCAGCAGTTTGTAAATGTTTTAAATACTCACCAATGTGAACAATACCACCAGAGGTCAAATTTTACTAAATTTAAACAAACTGAATCAGACAATTTAAATGCAATATATTGATGCAGGTTTTCGGTAGCCCAAGTTTCAAGCAGGCCGCCAATACATTGTTAGTAAATCTTATTTTGTTGATTATAACCTAAAAACAGTGTAGTGTACCTTATCGCTTGGAAAACTAAAATGACGGTTGCTGCGAAGAAAATTTTCTTTCAGACAGAAATCACTTAGCCTTTAAATTCATCTGTATATAGTGAAGGAGTGAGGAAATTCCAGAACTAATTCTGGTCAAGTATCAAATTACAACGAACAGCAAGATGACAAACAATTATTAGGAACGTAGTAATCACAAAAGTGAACAGGAATTTCGCATAAAAAAACATGGGTGGATAGTATTTGCTGGGCAAATTGACTGTTTATGCAAATATGGATTAAAAACACAATAATTACAAAAAATAAACAAGAAGTTTGGATAAGAAATTTAATCGGGTAATAGTTATAAAGAAGACTGACTGTTTATGATGACCCGGTGAAGACAAAAGCTGGATTTACTTCTTTTGAATATATACATAGCATTGACTTGAATGTTTGAATCGCTACTGCTTGATTAGTTATGCCCAGATGTCGTGATCTCACTCCCTTTGAGAGATCTTATCGGATCTTGTTTATACAAGATCTAAATTGTCTCAAGCCAATCCTATGTATTCAAAAGAATTATGTCCAACTTTTGTGGTTACTATAGCCATCGTAAATAGTTAGTTGTCTGAATAATTATTGTCTGATAAAGTTTTTTTATCCAAACTTCCTGTTCATTTTAGTCATAATTATGGATTTTTTAATCTTTTTTTTTGAAAGTATATAATTGGTTGTAATATAAGCAGAATAAAACAAAATTCTGGTGAGAGCATGTTTCCTCCATCACTCTAATTTTCATAATTGCATTTTAGAATTTACACGTCATACATTTCTGTAAAGCGTGTGCATAGAATATTAATGATTGGAACAGCTATAATAAAAATTTATAAATTTTAAAGAGTAATTTGTCTCTCAAGGTAGAAACCTTTGCAAGTTAGCAATGAATCAGGAACACATGTCAAATACTAAACAGTCTATTGGCATAATTTACTGCTGAATGTACGTCATGGCAACGTGATAACTGTACCGTTTTATTATTATGTTGGTTTCAACGTGAAAATTACATGAAGCTTTAATTTCATGTCCTTAGATTTCTTTTTTTTCTGCATTTTTGATGTTGAGCCATTTTATAAAAGCAGAAATTTAGGAAGAGACACTTTACAACACTTCCTTAATCCAGTAAAAGTTGGGGTGAACTTATAAATTCATTCAATGAAAAAAGCGCGTGCCTGATTGGTTTATTCCATGTTTTAAAAAATGTGAACAGTTTAAACACATCCGATTTTAGATTCCTAGATGAGAAGGATGTTTCTGTTATTTCATGCTTTCTAAGCTAAGCAGGTTAACCGCGAAGCTTTTGAGAATTACCACCTGCACAACATATTCACCTCTAAACTATCAATTAAATCATCTAGCTAACAAAACAAATCAATATCATGTTCACTTGTCATCCTAATCAGTTTTATTAAATATAGTTTGTAATTTGAGTACCATCTCCCCCATAATTACTCTCCTCGGTTCTAAATGGAGCATAGAGATCTAACAACACACTTCCACTGCACCTTGTTCTCCACATTCATCTTTACCTGGCTCCACGATTGTCCATAGGCTCTCATAACTTTCTTACACGGTCTCATCCGTGTCATCCTTGAATCAAGGCCCACTTTCCATTCGAGTTCTGCTCGTGACATAGTCTAGAGCCTGATGTCATTTAACGGTCTCCTCAAAGTATGACTAATCCATCTCCATTTCCTTCAGCATTTTTGTTTTGTAACAGGTTCTTAGTTGGCTTGTTGGCAGAGCTCATAGCTGCTGTAGATAAAAGTTCGAAGCATATTAAGAATGCTTTTGGTGATACTCCAAGTTTCATAAGTTCTCATCTCCTACTCACACGATATCCCTCACGTAACCATCAGACTCCCTACTCGTCGTTTCCCATTCTGATTGGACTCGAGCGCTAGCTCTGCGCACGATGTCACTCACTGGTCTCCTGTGCATTTGCCTAATGCATCTCCATTTTCTTCGGCATATTTCTTGAGCAGTAGGTTATTGGTTGGTTCGTTCATCGGGTTTCTCGTTGCTGATTCTTTCTCGCAACTTGATCTTCAATATGGAGCCAGCGAAGGCAGCTGTTAGTAACAGACTGCAATCTACTGGAAATGCATTTTCGTGAGGGGAGCACCAAGTGTCTGACCCATATAGAAGAACTTGGTGACTTGACTTTGGTGTTGAAAATCCGAATTTTGTTGTTTACGTTGAGTGTAGAGGCTTTCCAACCTGATTTCAGATTTATGAAGTTTTACCTTGCCTTACCGATTCTGACTATTTTTGACATCCGTATCCGCGTCGGCCTCCTGGCTGTAGCTCAGAAGATGACGCCTAGATAATCGAAGGAAGTGACTTTTATCAATTGTTTTTGATAGAAATTGATTGGTACTTGTTGTTAGCTGGTTACCCTCATCACCTCCGTCTTCTCTATGTACACTAAGATTCCTGGATTTCTTGCTTCTTCTGATAGTTTGTTGGTTGTTGTGACATCTTTACAGCCTTTGTCACAATATTTTTGACCTTTCTTTCACTACTGGTCAATTAAACTATCTAGTATTTGTTTGACTGCCAAACATCCACACTGTTCGAAGATTTCCAGTAGCTATAAAATGATTTATATACATAAAAATAAACAAAACGGCAAATTACTCGTCATTTTTCTTCCTAAGTCTCTTTAACCAACTATATATTGGTTGCTTAATTTTAAGAATTTGGGATGAATGACAGCAGGTTCCGCTTCTTTTCACCATATGAAGTATTCGCACATATTATCCTTTTTAATTCAAGATCGTAACTAATGTCTCATTAATCAGCATTTTAAAGTCTTTTTAATGTTTGAAAGTGATTTCAGTGTTATCATTCAGTCTTATAGCAACTAGTGCATTATATATCAGAATTTAGAAACTATGGTGAAGTTTTGTATCTCAAGTGCACGACTTTGGCGCAGTAGTTTTCTCTAAGCTGGATAGTTTAATAAAGAGGCCTTAATCGCCTTTCCAGATAACATCCTCAACACTTCCTTTGATATGAAGTGAGCTTTCAGAATTTTCCATACCTCCGGATGACCTAAAATGTGAAATATTGTCTCTGAAGATTTCTTTATCCTCTTGTTCATTTGTACTGATCTGACATTTGACACTATGCCAGTGCGACTTCTCTTTCATTCCTTAACAAATCCAATCATGCACCATTGGGAATAGTCCCAGTGGCTTAATGGTTCACGAGCTCGCCTTATAACTGGCATGTGCCTAGGTTCAAACTGTGGTAGTGCGTGAGCACTGCTGAAAAGTCTCAATTTAGGAGGAAACAATTGTTCAACTCTTCCAAGTTTTCCAGTGATTCTCTGACTGATGTCAGTCCATGATGAATCCAGTAATCAATCAAATACTTGCAAATCAACATCTGATTATGAATCCAGCCTATATCAATATGCTTGCTGATTGTATATTGACTGGAATACCAGGCCGCATTACTTTCACACTGTTTCTTGATTTAAAAATCTTCCTTTTTACATCCTTTTGGGTTGGACACTTCAATTATTGACTTTATTATATTCCTCTTGACCTTTTCAGATTTCTTGATGTTAAATTAGATAGTAAATGACAGATACACTTTTCTTTGAGGATATACTGAAACACAAAAACATCTTAAATTCGGAAAGAAGCTTTAGTTTTGTTATAAACACACATGAACTTTTGTATCATTCATCAGGGATGTTTGTTTTGAAATTCAATTCTGGATAGGTGTGTGTTTCTTGTCTGTTTGTTGGTTTTCTTTCAGGAGATGTTTTGGTCAGCTTCATAAATAACCTGGGGAATATTGATGAACATTAGATGGTGTCATTTAATGAAGACGTCAAATAATTCGTCTAAAGATATTTCTAATATTAGTTTTTATTTTGGATAATTTCTTTAAAAAAACCATGAATTACTGACTTTAAAAACACAGCAATTAGTAAAGTATGGACAAAACATTTCAAATGTATCGTAGATTCATACAACTTAACCATTATGGTAAATCCACAACTAATAATTTAAAGTTGACCATTCTTGGTATTATGAAACTTTATTTGACGAATATACTCGCGAGATAAAGTATTGGATACGCGTCTAATGTAACACAAACTCGAGTACCTGCAGGCGAAGACCAACTAGTTTGCGGAAGATACACTCAGCGAAGACGGGACTTCAAGTGGATGTGATAAAGACAGAGTTAATGAAGGTACCTAGCCAACAACAACAGGAACAAATCACTATCAACCGGAGAAATTTGAAGGAGGT